ATAAGCCCTAACTAAAATTTTAATCAATATCTAAATTTATAACCCCCTTAGAATAGTGCTTTTATTAGTTGCACCGCAGCCGTATTCTCATCTCTCCGTTAAGTTTAACAGAGCTTTTGTTTCGTTACAATAATAAGTAAAGAAATGACGATAACCTTACTAAATTTTTGAAAACAAAACTAATACTAAAATAAAACACTTATTTTTAAGAAATTTTATTTTTAAAGAACTTTTTTATTAATGTAGTTAAAAAGAAATTTTCTACTAACGCTCCGTTAAGGCCGTTCTCCATTCAGAACTTTTTGCGCTTTGGAGAAGCGGAAAAGTTCTTTGAGTATGCGCAAACAGTTTTTTTAAACCCGTTCTCCAATCAGAATTTTTTGCGCGTGCTCAAAGAACTCTTCCGTTCCACCAGGGCGCAAATAGTTCTGAATGGAGAACGGGCTTTAAGCTTAACGGAAAGATGAGAATATGGCTTCAGGCAAACAACAACAAAAATTTTCTGTTGCTAAACAAACAATACAATTTACAATCATTTCTCAGCATTTAGAGTTAAGATCATAATATTCATAAATTAGGGGTAAAGTTCATATATTCATATTGTCGAAAAAAAATTGTTTTGTTAAAGTCAACTCAAGTCTCAAATAAAACGTGCTTTCATAGATTTTAAATAAAACGTGTTTTCATAGATTTTAAATAAAACGTGTTTTCATAGATTTTAAATAAAACGTGCTTTCATAGATTTTAAATAAAACGTGTTTTCATAGATTTTAAATAAAACGTGCTTTCATAGATTTTAAATAAAACGTGTTTTCATAGATTTTAAATAAAACGTGTTTTCATAGATTTTAAATAAAACGTGCTTTCATAGATTTTAAATAAAACGTGTTTTCATAGATTTTAAATAAAACGTGCTTTCATAGATTTTAAATAAAACGTGCTTTCATAGATTTTAAATAAAACGTGTTTTCATAGATTTTAAATAAAACGTGTTTTCATAGATTTTAAATAAAACGTGTTTTCATAGATTTTAAATAAAACGTGTTTTCATAGATTTTAAATAAAACGTGTTTTCATAGATTTTAAAAAAAACGTGTTTTCATAGATTTTAAATAAAACGTGCTTTCATAGATTTTAAATAAAACGTGTTTTCATAGATTTTAAATAAAACGTGTTTTCATAGATTTTAAATAAAACGTGTTTTCATAGATTTTAAATAAAACGTGTTTTCATAGATTTTAAATAAAACGTGTTTTCATAGATTTTAAATAAAACGTGTTTTCATAGATTTTAAATAAAACGTGCTTTCATAGATTTTAAATAAAACGTGTTTTCATAGATTTTAAATAAAACGTGCTTTCATAGATTTTAAATAAAACGTGCTTTCATAGATTTTAAATAAAACGTGCTTTCATAGATTTTAAATAAAACGTGCTTTCATAGATTTTAAATAAAACAGATCTTCTTTTATTGTTGGCGTCAGATTACTTCATTCTTTTTCACTGAGTTTTTGATTACATTTTAAATGGATAATCAGTGCTTTTTGCAAGTGTATTTGATGTGGATGCTTATGAAACAATTTTTTCATTCAACTTTCCAAAAAAATTAAGAAAATTTTACGCAAGACTTTTCATTTCGCTTGCAATTTGGCTCTTTGTATATAGATAATAAGCCACTGTCTAAACTAACTTTTTTTTCCAAAGCATGTTGGCTCACTTTGGGATTTATGTAAGCCATAAATACAAACATATTTCCGAAAAAAATTATACTATTTGGAGTAACGCCAGTGTTAGAACTTGTATTGTCAAAAACAATTGCTTCAATGCTTTTAACACTATCGTATGCAGAAAGCACATTTAATATTGCTAAAGCCATTGTACTACCTTTACCATTTTCTATTGTCAAATGTGTTGGATAATTTTAGAGAAAGGATTATTTTCACAAGTAAAAGTTAGGTGATGTTCATCATTGGTTGTTCGATAAAAGAAAGGGTCCCCATTACTCTTGTATTTTATCACATGAACTAATGAATTTTTGTCTTTCTTAATTTCAACACCGATTTTCTTTATTTCTAAAACCTCTTGAATATGCTTAGTGTCAATTGATTAAGGCACTCGCAAAATATTCTGTAATTATCTGAGATTTTTTATTCTGACTTACTACTCCGTAGTCAATTAATACAGCTGCTGCAATTGCAGCTGCTGCAGTATTGCTTACTTTGTATCTTATTGCAGGTCAAATAAGTTAGTTCTGTGTAATTTCTTTCACTAAGTGTTTGCTCCTCAAACTATTCACTTTTAGATGTATCTATACTTGAAGGTTCAGCACTAAAACTACCATCGAACTGAACCGACCTCTGATGTTTTTTTAAGATACTTTTGTCTAATTAGTTTTCTAGTAACCTCATTTTCCTCTCTAGTATACTTTTTGGCGTTCCTTGTTGCCTCCGATTGGTCCACATTACCTAACAGCCAACTCCCTTTTGGTCCTATTTTGCATCTTTGGTCCTTTAAATATTCTCTTTCCAGAACAGGGACCTAAAATAAGTCAAATACTTTAAATATGAAATTATTTAAATTTAAAGTGAATAGAATGAATTAACGATCAAATGATTAGTAATCAATAATCATTTTACCATAACTTCATAAAAGAGCAGCAATTTCTAAAATGACTTATTTTCCCTAACCTTACATATTTATGAATTTTAAGTGTAAATGCATAATAATATTAATACAAAAATGACATGAATTACTTTTCTACTTTCCTCACAGAGATAAACTATGTGTTTCATTGTGCAATTACTTTTCCGACATCCAATTCGTTTAAACGTATATTATTTTACTATAAAATCAAAACAATATAGAAACCATTTCTTGCATAGGCTTTCATCCGTTAATTTACTGTTGTAGGCCTTACTTTAACACCTTAGTAGAAGCCAGAGGGATGGGGTAGTATATTTTCACATACCTTTACAAAATCTTTTTCACTTAACATTAAAAAAAAGTTGTAATAAAAAACTTTAAAAGATATATGTTTACCTATCATTACAATAATCAATAATTGGAAGATCGCACCGGCAAGCAGACACATCAAACAAAGTTTCCATTTTTTTTCTAGCTAGCTTATACTGGACTTATGGTTTTTAGATTGAATTCGTTCTGCAGACAACACTTTTAGAAATATTCTCGATATTTTATTTTTCAATGGTTTATCTTTTATCAGAGGTAGATTTGGATTAACCCAACACCAAAGCTGTTGCAAGTCACTATTGACTTTTGTCACAATTGATACAGAGTCAATTTTCTGTCTATTAAATAATTATTTCTCAACCTTGTAACCGTATTGAATGACCTGTTTGTAAGTTAGTAGATCGCTTAGGCGTAAATCAGAGGCTTTTCGAGCAAATCTTTCACTATTAATACGAGTTTTGTTTAAAACTTTCATAGGTCGTCCAAGTTTTTTTGAGCTCATGCTGATATGACAAACAACAAAATATTTATTTTCCTTTTCAAAATTTACATATAATCATATAATAACAATAATAATAATAGTATCTATAATAATATAAACAATATAACTATAATAAAATACAACTAATAAGAACAAAGATGAATAATTATTTGAAAAGGAAGGTGTCACTCAAACAGAAGCCTGATCAAAGGAGTGACACCAATTAATTATAATACAATGTGAATTTCTTGTATAATTAAAAAATAAAACAAGAAACAGTGGTGTGCATGGGGGTAGTATTCCTCCCCTCCTCCCGGGACTTTTTTTCAAAAATATTCCTTTGTAAATTGACTCTTATACAGAATTGGACTATTATACTGATGAAAGATATTGACTATTATACGTAAATGAATTTCATTATTAGACTTAAGTACAAATATATTAAAAAGAAAATTACTTATAAAGGAAAATATGCAGACTTTTTTCGCTGCCTCCTTGGTGAACGACAAAACCCGCCCCTGACAAGAAACTATTTTTCGATTTAAGTTTCTAAATGAAATATGTTTTAAACAATTTGTTAAAAAACAATGAGCTTACGTTTTAGTTTGGTAAATAGAATTTTTATCGAACGGAAATCTCCGTAGCTTTCTGTCTATATATATTAGTTCTCTAGGTTGAAAAAAAAAACCCGTCTTATTTACGGACCTTAAGTGACTCCATGTAAAATTTACACCGTATTTCCCAAAAAGATTATAAGTTTTTTCCCGTTATTTTTGTCGCAAACGAATAATATATCCACAATGCATAAACCCCACACTGAGCCAAGTGTTATCATATACATGACAGTGGCTTAATAGAAATGCATTAGTTCTTTTTTTATTAAAACTAATTCAATAGGCCAATAGTTCCACTTAAATTAACAAGACAATACAAAGTTTGGCACAAAGTTGACATTTTGTTTATGGAATTCAAAAACATTGTTGATCTGTATTTTATGAAATTTTAGAGTTTGTCTTTATTAATTATGTTCTGTAAAACACACTAACATAAAATCAACTTAAAATTAAAATGGTGTAAAGGAATTAAAACACACGATATATGGCGTAAAGAAATCGTAACACAAGATTGAAAATTTTAAACAGCTTTATCTTAAAAACTGCGCATTTACAAGCTAATAAATTTTTACTATTAATTTATTATGCTTTAAAACTCACGACTGCACAACGAAACTGAACGATACAGTTAGATGGCCTGTGGTCTATTTCGGCTGGTTTCATTGGCTGGACAACAGACCACAATTTACACTTTCACACTCCAAAACTAATAATAACTACACTTAAACCCGGCACAGTGCACGCATGGTAACTTAATTTTGATTTTTAAAATATTATTTTAAAGATAAAAAAAAATTATTTTATTAACAGTAAACTTTTTGTGCCAATAAAAAATTACTTAGAGTCTTATTCAATTTTATAACTGCTGCTAATGTTAATCAATTTAATTGTACAATTGATTAAAATAAGATTTAAAAAATTTAAAAAAAAATCTCATTGTTTTAAATTAAATCTTTTTAAGAATTCAACGATGCAACTATATCTAATGATGATGAGATTCTTGCCACGGATTCAATGTTTCTAAAAATAAAAACCATGAATAATATAAGCATAGAAAAAGAATTTGTTTTTCTATTTTAAAACAATAGTTATATGAAAAATATACTCATGCGATTTAATAGTTGTTTAAAAGCTATAATTTTCGAATTAAACACATGACTTAATACTAAGTGGTATGACTTCAGAACAATGCTTATTGTGCTTCAGAACTATGACTATTGTACTTCAAACTGTACAAAAATCTAAAAATGTTACAAAACGTTTAACTATTAATTACGTTATGAAACGTTATACTGCTGAATTATTAAAACTTTATTGCTTTTTAAAAAGCCTTGTTTTATATTATTCATTATGTACATTTTATATTATTCATTAAATATTTTAAAACAAAATATTTTTGTCATCATTAAAAAGCACGTTCTTTGTAAACTGGTTCTAGCCATAAAAGCGATATTTATATATATCGCTTTTATGGCTAGAACCAGTTTACAGATAAAATGTTACCTTTTTAAAGATTTGTCGTTTTTGTCAAAGCATCTTTTTTAAAGTTAAAGCCTTTAGTCTGATCTCAAACCGTTGTACATTTTGGGTCAAAAACTCTGATGGCTTGACCTGTGAAAATGGTTAGCATTGGGTGAAAGTACATTTATTCCTGGTACCTGGGAACCAAATTTTGAAATCAAACTATTTCGTCCGCAAGAATAAATTCAATTTGAAATTTCTCTTTATTTTTTTTTCAAAATGAAATGACAGCTTACAAAATTTTTTTTGCATTTTTACAATAACTTTTAATTTTTTGGTTAGTGAATGTGAAATAGTAATGTTTTTACAAAATCATAGATGAGTATTTGACTATGAAAATCCCGGAAATTTTTTTCTATGAAAATTCCGGAAAATTATTTTATTAAAAGTAGATCTTATTAACTGACAAGAAAAACTTTCGTAAACTTTTAAAATGGAATTTAGATTATTTTACTTTTTACAAAAAGGAATTTCTAATATTCGAAAAAATTAATTTGATTGAATTAAAAAACGAAAAAAAAAAGAAAAGAAAAAAAATTGTTGCAAAAATTGATCTCGTGAAAATTTTATTTGCAGAAAACATATTTGTTTAAATGCAAAAGTTGTCATTCTTAAAATTTTATGTAAAAATATATCTGTATCTCAGATGTCAACTATCGTAACTCACATTTGACAAATTTTACAGGAGAGCCAAATGAAGTTACTACACTTCTTTTTCTGTTAAGAAACAGCGACACTTTACCTCCTTCACTCCTTTACTCCAGATTTCTAACTTTCTGTAATGCCCACGCTTACGATATTTTACCACTAAAACAAGACGGTCTCCCAGTGACAGTTAAGATAAAAACCTGAAAATCAGCAATTTTGCAGTTACGATAGTTGACCACTGGGGTACAAATATAATTTTTTTTTTTAAATTAATAACAAAAAACATCCGGAAATTTCTGGAAAAAAATCATTTATGCAAAATAACTAAAACTAAAAATTTTCCCGGAAAAAAATCATCTATGCAAAATAACTATTTATTACTCAAATAATAAATTTTATTCTTCTTTTAAAAAATTTTTCGCGAATTAGAATATCGCAACTAATAAAACATTTTTTTTTGGGAAAAGGCCTTGCTATCATTTTAGTTAAAGTTTGCTAAACAGAAGTTTGATACAAAAACACTTAAAATACCAAATCGGGCTAAGAATCATGAGGAATGCAGGAAAACCGTTTGTTGCCTGTGTTTCCACAAATGTACAATTCAACCGACACAATTTCAAATTCAAAGATTGTCAACAATTTACAATCAGCCTTTGGAAACATCTGATGTCAGGATTCCACTTGGACTTTGTAAAGCTTGAAGGACAAATCTTAGAAGAAGAGATGCAGGGAAAGATGCACAACTTCTAGTCTTATTTGATTTTTTATCCATCACAGTGAAACCACCAACTCTTGGGCGAGACTGCTGTTGCCTTATTTGCCAAATTGGGCACTCAAAGCTCAACCAAAAAGGCCCTCTCTCAACTCCCCACCGTGGAGGAGAGATGCTTCGAAGGCGTGGTGACTGCCTAAGCCTTATTGGACGTGGACTTACTCATTCCTGCATATCATCCACATTTAGAGAAAATATGAGACTTTTGGCAGTTCAAGATACAAATACTGCAGAACAAATAGCTACTCAAGTACTTTCAAGAATGGAATCATCTCCCAATGGCACAATACAGATGTCAAGGCCTGGAGGAGGCCCTCCCTTACAAGTTACACCAGGTACTGTTTCATTTCTTAATCTTTTAACTGCATTGTTTTTTAAATTTAATTTAGCTTTGATTTAAACATTGATGGCTCTAAAAGCACACAACTTAAGATTATTTTAACAAGCCTGCTTTCTATTAAGTTTTCAACAACTTTATTCAACTTATTTGTAGGTCCTTCAAGTGCAAGAAAACTTTTTGACGATTCTCCAATCACTACAGAAAGCCTTGTTCATGTCCAAAAAAATATTAGATTGTCTAACTTTGGCATAAAAAAATTAGCATCCACCTTGAACCAAGTTGCTAAGGCCATAGTGGTAGAAGTCAAATTTTTGGTCAAAATGTGACAGCTTTGGAAAAACTCTCTCATACGTCTTCACCTAGACTACAATACCCACGGGAGAAAAACAAGCAAATTCAGAAGGAGGTTATCTGGTTATTCACTGCTAATCCATGCAAGACATAATTGATGAAGTATTGATGTACAGAAAAATTTTCTGCAGTCAGTTCTTTAAGCTTGGTATAGATGGCGGAGGTGGGTTCCTAAAATTCACTCTTGGTGTGATTGTAGATGAATCTTTAAAAGAACTGCATTCACCTTCCCACAAACAACGACTTCTCACACAAATGCAGGCCAAAGATACCAGTGTTAGACAACAACTAATTGCTATTGCTGAGAATCTACCAGAGTCATATGACAGCCTCAAGTAAATTTGGTCACTCATAAACCCAATCAGAATGATCTTGTTGTTTCTTGTGATTTGAAAGTAGCAAACCTTCTCCTTGGACTTCAATCACACTCTAGTTCCTATCCTTGTTCATGGGGCAATGTGGAATCAAAGAACTTGGAGTTATGTGGTGAGAGCAGAACAATTGGATCACTCAAAGCCAAATATCATGATTTCAAATGATCAGGAAGTGATTATAGGAAGGCAAAAGTCTATGGCAATGTTGTTCATGAGCCCATTCTGACAGGATCTGATGGAGCTGCACTTGCTTCTTGGTGTAACCAACCATTTGTTCAAGGCTATGAAAAACTTGTGGCTAAAGGCAGAAGAACGGTCTGCTAAACTGCATATTCACCAAGAATCTTACCACGGAGGGCAGTTTGCAGGCAATGCCTGCACAAAACTTGTAAACAATGTGGACCTTTTACAGCAGCCTATTGAATCAAATGCTGCATTTCAAGATGTGTAAATTGCCAACACACTGCAGAAATTCAATGATGTTGTCAAGGCTTTCTGTGGCCATGAGCTTGATCCTAATTATGCTGAAAAAATTGACAATTTCAAAAGGCCCTATCTTTCTCTTCCTCAAAGAAGTGTCACACCCAAGGTACATGCAGTATTTTACCATATGCAGGAATTTGTTGCAAGAAAAAAAATACCTCTTGGAATTTTCAGTGAACAGGCCCTTGAATCAACTCATCAACACTTCAATAACCATTGGTAGAAATATTAGAGGTCTTCATCAAATCCTGAGTATGCAAACAGATTCAAAAGCTGCTTGGTGGATTACAATAGAAAGCATCTGTCGTCTATAGTGAATCAAGAATATCTTTTTTACCATTTTTGAAGAATGTATGTTTACTTTTTTTGCTAATTTTGAGAAGATATTATAAAAAGTTGTTATTTTCTGTTCAATTTAGTTGGTATTTATTTAGAAAAAAATGTTTATACTGTAGAAATGCAAAGAAAACTTGTAAGCTGCCATTTCATTTTGAGAAAAAATGAAGTGAAATTTCAAATTGAATTTATTCTTGCGGATGAAATGTTTGATTTTAAAATTTGGTTCCCAGGTACCAGGGATGATTGTACTTTCACCCAATGCTAACCATTTTCTCAGGTCAAGCCATCAGAGTTTTTGACCCAAAAGGTACAACAGTGCTCAGTTGGAAGTGAGCAAATTAAAAGTGATTTTTTTATGAGAAAAAACTTTTAAGAGGAACTCTGAAATTTAATCCAACTATAAATTTAATTAAAAAAAATTAATAAAAACACACACACATTAAAGTGTGAAAATCTTCATTAGAAACTGCAATTTTTCTTTATATTACTTATATCAAATAATATCAATTTAACTTTAAAGGATTTTCATGTTAACATTACAATACTTTTATTACAACAATACAACAACATATATCTTTATTACAACGATACAACAACATATATTTTTATTACAACAATACATCAACATATTTTTTTTAATACAACAATACAATAACATACTTTAAGCACAATCACATAAATTTTTACAATCACATAAATTTTTAATACAACAATACAACATATATACTTTTATTACAATACAATAACATATATTTTTAATACAACAATACAATAACACAATGTAAACCATAAAAGTGCTGAAAAGACTGGGGTAAAGACAAGTATTGAAGTAGATTAGGTTCTCTAAAAAACACTTCATAGGTAAACAATGATAAAAATTTAAGACTAGCTGAATCCTCTCAATTTGAGGGGGTGACAAATTTTATATGGTCATAATTTTTGAACACTGAGTGATTATACTATAAAATTTAAAACTTATAAGTTTAATTGAAAAGAGTACAAAATTTTTTTATCAACTTGTTGCTCTCACCAGGGAAGGGGCAAATAAACATAAAAATGTATTCTTTTTAATCTTTCTCAAAAATTCTTTTTATGAATAATTTATTAAGATCATTTGCTAAATTTATCAAGACCAAGGAAAAAAATTGACTGGATGCAGCTGAAATTTCCCAAATTAAACCATGTGGCAAATTTATAACAACATTACAGTTAAGAAAAACAACCCTATAAAAAATGTACCCAAATCATGTTTTGATTTGTTAAAAATAAATAATGCAACAGGTGACACAGGCATCATATTGTATTTTTTGCTTTGGAGAAACAGATTTATAGATGGTTAAAATTCAATAGTATATTTGATTACAATGCATAGTAATATTTAATGTTATTTATAACATACATATATCTGAAAATCTGAAAAGTAAATTCTGTAAAACCTATATAAATTTTTTTTTGTACACACAATAATCATCTATATTAAAATATTCCATGAGAACATTTTGCATTAAAATTAAAATCTGGAAATACAATTAAAATCAGGAATTTATTTTTAAAGATTTTTTGTCTGAATTTAACTTTGAAATGATGGCTTTAATGATTTCTTAGAAATTTTTCGTATTTTTTTTACTGGTAATGACTGAAAAAGTTTCAAAACAAGTATACTATAAAAATATTTTTAAATTTGCATTTACTGGAAAATCTTTTAAAAATATGGTATAATACTAGTTATATCATATTTGAAATATATATATATATATATATATATATATTATATATATATATATATATATATATATATATATATATATATATATATATATATATATATATACTATTATATATAATAATATAAATATTATTATATAGTTATTATATATATATATATATATATATATATATATATATATATATATATATATATATATATATATTATTATATTATATATTATTATATATATATATAGTTATATATTATATATTATTATATAAAATAATATTATATATTATTATATATATATAGTTATACTGAATTTCTTTACAAAAAAAAAAACTTTGACACTGATGACTGAAAAAGTTCAAAAACAAAATATGGTATAACACTAGTTGAAAAAAATATCAGAAGTTTGGGATATATCTGGAAAAAAATAATCCTTGAGTTCATATTTACTCAGGTTTGCCGCTATGTGGTAGGTTAACCACATATATTTGTAAAACAGCTTAGTAAAGATATTATTTTTTCACTTTAAAAGATATGACTTATAACACATTAATCAAATTTGCTTTCAGAAAATGGAAAGTAAATTTTATAATAGTAATTGAAGTTTGGAATATGGAGAGTAAATTTTAAAATAGGAACAATTATAAATATCAGAAAAACATGTGAAATACATTTTTGATTATATAAATCTAAAAAAGTAAAACTAAAAACATTAATATTTTTTTATAAATATTTCAGAAATAATTTATTAATGTATATCAAATTATAAATGTATATATATTTTTGTATATATTTATTTACCAGTATTTATTAAAATACATGTATATCAAATACAATACTTACTCGAGTTCTTTCTCATTTCATCTAAACAAATTAAAATTATAAAATTAACATCAACATATTAAAGCAAAAAGAAATAAAACTTTAAAAAAAAAATCAAATAAAACCATGATTTTCACAAAGTCATTAAATGGCCTATGACATTTATTTAGATTTAAAGATGAAGAACGATTAGTTTATATTTAACTAATTTATGTATAAACTATGTGGAATTTCACAAAGAGTTATTAGCATTTAGGGTCCTCCATGAATTACATCAAGCTCTGGGGTGAGTGATTTTGTGACAACTCAAACAAGACAACAGGTTATTAAGACAATGAGTTATCAAAAAAATAAGAATTTATAGTAGGAGGAGGATTTTATCTACAAAATAAATGTGCATGTTTTTTTGTTTAAAAAAAGGAACTTCTTCTAGTTTTAGTAAACGGAGAGAGAATGTAATCCCCGTAACGTACAAAAACAATTTACCAAAAGAAAATGAACAACTTTAAAAAAGGTTTAATTATAAATATTTATTAACTTTAAATAAAATATATAAAAATGATCTTTTTATTTAAATAGATCCTTAAAAGCGTTCCTGATTGAATCATTTTTATCGCGATGTTCCACTTCATTTTCTAACTGTTTGTTGTCAAAGGCTTTAAAGTTGTTTTCAATACAACTTTTTATGGCACGGCGAGATGTTATATAGCTCTGTTTCAATCTTGTAAGATGTGGAATAAATTAAGTAGATGTTTCTGCATTACATAAAAGTTTTCCTAATTCATCTTTTTTAAAACACTTGTTTTCAAATTTTTATCGTTTTCCTTGTCTGTCTGATACTCTTCATCAAGTTGATTTATAAATGTTTCACCTTCACAATCAAATAATTCATATCCTTTATCTAGCAGCTCTGTTTCACAAGTGTTTTGTCCTTGCTTTCGTTTCACTCCTTTTGGAGGTGTAATTAGCCCTTGGAGATCTTTCAAGTTTCTTGGGCTTAGGGTAAACATAAGTTTTTTCCGAAATATTTGAAACTTTTCTCCAACTAAGGCAAATATTCTTTCCGAAACTAGATAATCCTCACTTCTATTTAAAGGATTGGTTACCCACAGTGCTTTAAATCGACTAGTAACATCAATCTATGCCTTATCTATCATGCCCAATACCTTATCTATGCCCAATCTATGCCTTATCAATCTAATGCCTTAAATCGACTAGTAACATCAACGAATTACAACTTGTTAGTAGCATTTGCATTATGTGATCCCTGGATGGCTGTGGAATTTTTTTGGGGTCAAGCCTTAATTACTCTATCATAAGGTTTTGCTCCAACTCGGAATTTAGTTTTTAAAGGCCTGTGGAAATCTGTATCGTTAATTTGATTGTCCCCTGTAACACCACCACTTATTTCAACATAAATATAGCCTTTCTTTAGTAAGCCAGCTTTGATTTCTGGCATTATATGAACATTATATTCATCTAGAACAAAGATTCTGTAATTTTGATGAGTAAAAATATTGTGCCTGTTTGGTAAATTAGCTATTGTACTCAGTAAATGTTCCAATCGCTAGGAACCTTTAGGTGTCCATTGAAACTTCACATCTTTAGGAGGATAAAGTTTAACCATAACACCGTTGCCTTTAAACACAAATTCTGGTTTAATTGAGACTTTACGGTCACTGCAAACTTGAGTGTAAACAGTAATTTGTTCTCTTGAAAGAGAATAATTTTCTTTGACGTATGTGTCCAAACCAGTAAAGTTCAAGGTCTTTTGGGTAGAACTTTGATTTCGGTGGAGTGGCATTTGGTCACCATTCAGCACAGGTAGATTAACTCCAAAATTTTCAATAAAGTATTTACGTACAGTCCAAACATTTTACAGATACTCAAATATTCTTTCTTCAGTCAGCCTGCATTATTTGAAAGCATTTGTTAGGATGGCGCAGACTGACACCATGCTCACTCATCCAGTTATTTAACGAACAATTTAAGAAAAAAATTTTCTTGTTCAATAGGATTTAATATGCTTATTATTGATTTAATATGTTATTTTCAGCATATTAAATCCTATAATTAAAGCCAAAGCTTTATTGAGAAATAAATTAAAAGTTCATTTTTAGCAAATTGAGATTTAATAGGTTGACAATTTAAAAAACCTCTTTACACCGAAAGTTTTTGTTTTTATATGTGACTAAAAATTATTTTCAAATTTTTAAGGCCAATTTTCACTTGATTTTTTTTTTACTTTTGAGATATAATTTTTTTTGTTGATAACAAGTTAAAATTAATAAACAGGTGTCTTAAAAAGGATAGGGTGGGTGGGAAAAATATCCAAAAATTAATAAACGAGGGGAGGGGTGGGGACATTGATTAGGAACTCGAGAGTAGTCTCTTTAAGAATAATTGTCCCCATGGTATCAGGAAAATAAATTTAGTAAAAAAAAAGTGATTCACATATTTTTAACAAAGTCACTTATTATCGTACTTATCTTTTCCAAAACCCAAGATTTTATTAATGTTAAGGAGGCTAAATGTTCTTGTTTTTTTAATTATTTTAACTAAAATCTTATTTATCTTGTATAAATAAATTTTTTTATATAAATTTAATTTAAATCAGTCTAAATCAGTATAAATCAGTCACAAAAACGCAACAGTTGAAAAGTATAAGCTGATATTGTTTTTCATTATTGTCATAATTTTTCTACTTGCTTTATTCTATACCTCAATACTAGTAAACATTATTTTCATATTTGAGCTAGTTCTTCTAATATCCTTTTTATGCTAATTATTTACCATTTTATTAAAATAAACTTTAACAGTATTTAATATTATTTTAATTATGCAATTTTAATTGTTGTTAATATTAAAGTTAATTTACACTATTTAAATTTCATTGAACAACGTTATTTATATATTTTAAACTAAATACTTTGCAGGATAAAATTTTCTACAATAATAATTTTAATAATAGGGGGAGAGGGGATGCAGTAACTTAAATTATAACAAAATTACATAACATAAATAACAAAGCAACACATACCAGTCACAGGAATTTTCCAATATAAGTAAAGCACAAATGATGCAGATAGGTAGCATAGTGAACATTTCTGAACCACAGGTACTTTTAAGAGTTTGTAAAGAGAAACTATTTGTGGCATAAGTGGAGGAGGAGCCATTTTTTAGTTTTTACTCTAAAAATAAATTTAAACTATAAATATAAATGGGAAAGCAGAACATTATCTAAGATTAACTGCTTGAAAAAAAGATTAGAGTCAATTAATAACTAACAAAAACTCATTTTAAGAATTAAATTTGAAATTATGATTTTCTGATAAATGTCGAAAAGTATTTATTTCCAAATTTAATTTTGATTCTCTATTAAGCTATTTCGATCTTATTCTGCTTTTGAGATTTTCAATACTATTCATTTTTTCACAAGTTTTATTATATCTCTTTCGATAGTAATCCAAAATATTCATTTAAAAATTTTTTTCAGTTCTGCTGTTTTCGATTCTTTTACTTCCTGGATTATTTTATTTATTATTTTTTTTTTATAAGCATATGATATTTTTGAAACAGGCTCGGGTATGCTTAAGGAAAAAGTTAAAAGAGGCTCAAAAATATGCTTAAACTTAAGCATATTTATAATAAATATGCTTATTTCAATAGTTTCTAAAAATGCGTGTGTTACTAAAGGTTAATGGTTATAAGAAAAATAAAAAGACTTTAGTACAGTATAATAAAAAATAAAAAATATATACTATATACAAATGCTATCAATGAAATAATAAAATAAGTAAAATTTGAAATAAATGAAATAATAAAATAAACAAAATTTGAATTTTTTAAATGGTTTATCGAGGTTCAAGAATATGCTTACATATGCTTATTTTTTTTCCAAATCTGAGCCTCCATATGCTTATAAACGTTATGCTTATAAAAAAAAACATGTAATAATATGATTATCTCTTAATTCAATGTTTTTGAAATTTTATCCATTTAATTACGCCAAACAAGTATTTGAAAGAACAAAATGAAAAACTATTGGATTAAATGGAATGTTAAACTAAAAATTAATCAAAATTAAAGATTTTACACAAATATATAAATAATTTGTTATATATAATATATAACAAATAATAATATATAATATAACAAACAACTTTTTATTATTTAATTTTACATTTTTTTATAACTGATGAAATAAAATTTTGCTCATCATGTTTTGTCTTTATATAAAATGTCTTTATGATGTCTTCATAAATGGCAGCAAAATTACAAAGAAAGAGAAACTCTAGATATAAAATTATTTCAGACTTTTTATACTTTGCAAGAAAAGTTAAAAAAAATCTGGGTGTGAGTTTAGTGAAAGATTATTTAGTACTGAAGGAAATATCAAAACTAATCTGCATATTAGTTTTGATATTGTATATTATATTTAATATTGCATATTTGCATATTCCTTCAGTACTAAATAATCTTTCACTAAACTCACACACACAGTTTTTTTTTTTAATTTTTCTTGCAAAGTATAAAAAGTCTTGAATAATTTTATTTCTAGAATTTCTCTTTCTTTGGAATTTTGCTGCCATTTATAAAGATAGCTGCCATAATTTTATGCCATAATTGCAACCAGTAAATACAACCAGTAAATCTGATATATATATATATATATATATATATATATATATATATATATATATATATATATATACAACCTATATTTGGCACTTGCATATACCAAATTTGGTAAAAAAATGGTTCTGAACAATTTTTGTGTTGACAAAATCAGGTTAACATTGTGTAAAAAAAAGTTGACAAAATCAAGTTAACATTGTGTAAAAACTATTAAAATAATTGAACTAACTAATTTGTTGTTTTTTTTTAACACAAAACGCAACTTAATAGATTAGAATGTTGTTAGTTTTTTAATTGAGAATGCTTATTTTTCAAATGTAATAAAAATATCTAGCTTATTTTACTACCTGCATATAAATACGCAGATTTAAGTTGAACCTAAATTAAACTACATTTTAAATATCATTCAAGTTAGTTTTTTTTAACAAAACCCTGTACAACTTAACTTACTACAACTTATTATAAACTGGAACCTTATTACAACTTTTTCTACGTAACAGCAGTATGCCATATTATTTAAAGTTTTTTTTAAATTTTAACCTTTGAGTTTTTCTTTTTTTTTAATTCAATTTTAAAATATTCTAGAAATTAAAAATACTGAAAATATTAAACTCATCAGAAGTACTTTTATTTTTTTGTTTTCATTCGAACCACCATTAAAAAATATTATAATAGAAGAAAAATTATATTAAATTAGATTTCACTCTACTAAAAATAAAAAAATAAACTATGTTTAGATAAAAACTTTATTAAAAATTAAATACAGATTCACCCATTCGTTTTTAAAATCGTATAGTTAAAAAAATAAAGATTAAATTCCAATTTACTTTTAACTTACTAACGACAATACCAAGTTTTAATTTACTAACCACAATACGTACCTCGTTAACAAGACGAACTTTACGCAATAAACTGCTCGTCAAGAGAAATCGAACTAAGCCTCCCCTGAATGCTACAAAAAGTATATTATACGATTATACCCGAATTCTTTTAAAGAAAGTTTGGCCACTTCGGATAACTGCGGACCTCAGCCAACCCTCTTTTCGGCTATTTCAGCAAACAAGTACTTTTTATAATGGCTGGCAGAAAAATTGCAATAAAGACAGTTGACTGGGCAAAGCTTGGTGCCTCAATTCCTAAAGCTCTTTCTGCAGATTTTAACGGTTTTCGTGTAAAACACGAAGAAATTCGTGGAAGGTTTGTTTTGTTAATTCTTGTAATTACTAAATATTATTTATATTAAAGTTTACAATAGCCCCTAGTTTTATCAGATCTGTCTATTCTAATATCTAAGAGCTTTGTCAGGTAACCCCTACATACCTATATCGCTTGGTCAGACAAAAACCGAAATTATTTTTAATAGCCATGTTGATAGTAATAATAAGGTAAAGACTAAATCAGTAGTTGTGAAGTTAAATAACAGTAAAAATTGTATTGCAACAAACATCTAGTTATTTTTTGGTTTTGTTTTTGTTTTAATAAATAAATTTTACGAATTTAATATTTTTTCAACTTGTTAAAATTATTTATTGAATCAACTACTAGTATATTAGACAGTTCCATAAATTTACAATACAATTTTGAAAAAAAGTCTTTACAATAGGTATATGGATTAAAATTTTTAAACTAATCAAATTCTAGGTATTATATTAGGTACGTGGACTGTTTTTTTTAAATTGATTAAATACTAGAATATTATATATCATTAGAAAGCCCTCAAATACAGTATTTTAACAGTGAAAAAATTATGAAAATCGGATAATTCTATAAAAGTTATAGCGTTTTTAGTAGCAAATTTTCGATATATGGATTTATTGAAGAAACTGGTTCCAAAATTTTTTTTTTTTTTCACTGAAATTGTTATAACTTTGTCCAATCTTATATAAATGTCTATACCTTGGTATCAAAAGATAGATGTAAGAGTAGGCTACAAGTTTATATAACTCTATAGATAAAAGGGTGTCTAGAGGGCCGGAGGGGGTATGGAACACCCTTGTAACCTTAAAAAAAATACAAGTTTTTTACACGAAAGAGTGTTTTTCTGATAAAATATGTCACCTTTATACACAAAAAGTTGTTCCAATTTGCTTCCATTCCATTTCCAAATTTTAGTGGTCTATTTTAGAATAAAGGGTCGATGTCTTTGTTACGTTTTAACACCCTCGTAGTGAAATGTTCCATTCTTATAAATACTTTAACCCAAAAAACACTGATTATATTATGTGTTAAAAAGTTTAAATTTTATTTTCTTACTTTACAGCATCTAAAAGTGTTGTATATATTGACTTTATGGCTGGGATGTGTGCACCGCACAATGCCCTCTCCCCCACCCCCCAGTCTTCTCCAACCTAAAAAAAAAATTTAAAAGAGATTTGATAAAAGGTTTTAAATTAAGTTTATTGAAAAAAAGAAATTAGGATACAAGATTATTTTACTAAATTAGTTAGGGGAGGGGCGTGTGCCACGACTAACGCCCTATCCCCCCTGCCCCGCCCCCTACGTATTCAAACTTTAAAAAAATGTCTATAGAAATTCAAAAACTTTTTTAAATTGCATTTAATTAAAAAGAGAGACAACTTTATAAATCTCACCACATTACACTTTTTTCAGTGCATCCGAAAACATAACTCCACTTTTTTTTGGACCCATAAATCCTTTAAAAATATATATATAAAGAGTTAATATACCATAGTTTTAATTAAATTTTTTGAAAATTAAAAAAATAATATACAATAATTTGTTAACAATTAATAACATAATAATACAACATGTAAAAAAAGTATTAAATAATATAGACTTAAAAAACCTCATACATATCTTCTACAAACAAGTATTGGTTACATAAATATTATATTTAGAAACTGTAAACAAGTTAAACTGGTTTAAAATCAAATAATTAAACTGGTTTGAAATCAAATAATATTACTTAACTCAAACAAACAGTAAACAAACTAAACAAAAAAAAGAATAGTAATTAAGTATGCAAAAGATATTTTATATTAATCAACTCAATAAAAAATTACACATAAATTTAAAACATTTAATATGGGCTATGAAATCCTAAAAAAATCCTAAACGCATTTAAAAGTCAATAACTATTTATAGTTACAACTTTTATACTTTTTACACAACAAATTTTAATCACATACAGAATATTTCCCTTGATAACTATTACACCTGTCAATGCTAGCTCTCAGCAACCCTATTAGGAGGATGATAGGCCTAGCTGAATGATTCACCATCATTCCCTCCTAACCGGACCCATCGCAAAAATGGCCGATTGCTAATCGGTCCAGGGTGCTGGTTCCTATATCTCCTATAGGCACGATAGGTAAGCTCTTAATGACAATAAATTGTTACTAAATTAGTATCGAATGGCATTACATAACATTTAATATAAACCAATTATTTGTAATAATAATAAACCAATGGTAGCTTGAAAAATGTTAATTAATGTAAAAAGTTAAGTACTGCTCTGGATTTTACTTTTACTGCACTTTGAAGGATAACATAATACAAATGTATTAATTAGTGAATATAAATAAAAATATTATGAATTAAATAATCATTCAGAAACATTTCTAAATCATAAATTTATCAGCAGAAGGTTGTGCAGATTGTTGTGGTCGTGGGACTAAAGTTAAAAATTTTTTTAAAATAAAATTACAATTTATTTGCAGTCAATAAGATAGGCATAGACATATTAGAAACAATACTTTTACACATATTATGCATACACATATTAAAAAATAATAGTTTATAAACTTACCACTTGTAGCAGCTGAAGATGTAACTAAAGGTTAACAAAGTTGAAATAAAAATAAATATTGTGAAGAAATGCCAAGAAATGTATTAATATATTGAAAAGTAAAAGTTTGTAAACATACCAATTATAGCAGATATAGATTTTATAACTAAGTTATAAAAAGTGTAATAAAAAATAAATATTGCAATTGCTCTGAAATACATACATATATGAACAGATTTTTTGAAGGATGCAATAAAAATATTTTTAAACTTACCACCCAATGCAGTTGAGGATGAAACTAGAGCTTAAAAGTTTAAAAAATATATATTTGCATTTTTCAAGAAATGCAAACATTAAAAAGAAATAATTGTTAAACTTACCATTCATTGCAGATGAAGATGTTGCTAGAGGTAAAAAAAAGTAATAAAAAATAAATATTGCAATTGACGACTTTGAAATTGGTATTAAACCTATTTACAGATTAAAAAGTACTAGCTTTTAAAATAACTAACCATAGCAACTGATAAAAGGAGCGAAGATCAAAAATAATTTAAGGTAACCCAAGATATACATGCTTATATTTAATATTCAAGTTATCCTACACAAACTTACCAGTGATAGGCTGGGTAGATCGAACTAAAAATAACAACAAAACCCTATGAAATTATGAAAGCAACTATCTGTAAGTAAGTTCTGTGGAAAATGCAACAACTTTATTAACATAATGAAAACTTTATTAACATAATGAAAACTAACAATGAAAATATAAAGAAAGTATATTAATAAACAACAAGCTAACATTAAGAATGGGTTATTCACTTTGTTTATAGATTAATTACATTATATTGGTTGTGGTTATATATGAAATACGTGATTTATACTTATGGAATCTCAAAAACTCTCCATGTCTAGCCGGATCTAAACAACAAGTCAACATTAGGCATGCTTGTATTGTGATTTAAATATTAATCCACAGATAAAGAAGTATACAATCCAAAAATAATAAAAGATGATAATAAGTTAATAAGTTTTATCATATTTGAAAAATACTAACAAGTCTTTTGCAAGGAATAAACCAATGAAGTATCTGATTTTTAAACTTATTTATATGTTGTGTCTTTATAAAATTGTCAACAGATGCTATTAGTTAACAATCCATTCAAAAGCAAAAGTTTTAAACTGAAACATTAATCTTCTTTTTTATGAAACATATAAAAACAGATTAGGAATTAATCTGTTTTTATATGTTACATAAAAAAGAATTTTAAATCAAAAAATATTCATAAAATTTATGAATATTTTAAAAATTCATATTCAAAAAATATTCATAAATCATTTATGATAAATGATTTATGAATATTTTTTGATTTAAAATAGTTATTATTGATAATGTTATAAAAAAAATAAACTTACTACCTGTTAGAGAGTTCTGTCTGCAGAATTCATTTTTTATTTTAATTTAATAATAAAAATCAAAATAATACAATATTAGAATTAATATTTTTTTGTAGAGTCGGCCCCCCTATCCGCCCCCGTATTTTGCTTAACGAAAAAAACAACAACAAACAAACAACAGAAAAGCCAAAATTAGGTACCAAAAGTTCTACACTAATTAAACTATCTGCGGAGCTTTATTTTTTGTTGAAATTTGGCATGTGCATAGAAAATGCATGTAGAAAATTATCTAAATAAAAAAAGGGGATCAACATTTCTTCGACTACAAATTCATGTGAGGACATCAAGCAAATTTTTATGCAAAGTTTTGGCAAAATAATCTATAAAAAAGTATACTAACCAAGCATATTATTCATAAAATATCAAGCTTAACCTTTCGTCTTTTAAAAATAATATAGGTTTGTATATGTTTCTGATAAGAATCACCACAAAAAAATGTTTGCCTAGGACTACCTAAAAAAAGTAGTATACTTAGTATAACACTAATTAAACTATCTGCAGAGCTTTATTTTTAGTTGAAATTTGGCATGTGCATAGAAAATGCATGTAGAAAATTATCTAAATAATAAAAAAAGGGGGATCAACATTTCCACTACTAAACACTCATGTGAGAACATCAACCAAATTTTTAGGAGCAAAATAATCCACAAAAATGTTAAGTAACCATACATAAATGTCATATATAAATCAAGATTAACTTTTCTTCTTTCAAAAAAGTATCTATGTGCATATATGTTTCTAAAAAGAAACTTTATAAAATTACATCTGCCTCATGCTGCCTAAAAAAGAGTTAAAAAATCGAGAACCAATATTTTAGCATAAAAATCGGTTCCGTAAATCGCGATTTCCGCATACCTAATTATATATTATTGCAAAGATAAATTTAATATTTCAAAATTAAAGATCCATGGAAAAAGGATACATAAAAAAACAATTTTTTTGTTCCAACATCTTTGTTTCCAACAAGGCTTCAAGCAACCACTATTAGAGTCAGAAGTTACTGGAAGAGAAAAAAATAAAGCTATAGAGCAAGATAACAATTGATAGACAACTTAAATAATTGCAGTGCAAAAAATTAAAGCAGTGCCCAATATAGTATTTATTGAAAAGAGAAAGAGAAGCAACATGACAATGTGATAATGATTGGAGGTTGGCTGCATCCAATCATGTAACATAAAAATTGCACATGTAAATTTTTTTTTTTACATGATTGGATAAATTTCCTTTCCGTTCCGCGGAAAATTTTCTGTAAGCGGAAATCCGCCTTGAGCCAATAATATTCCTTAGTCTATGTTCTTCCAGTGTTGTTAGTTGTATAGTCTCTAACTTTGCTTTATGACATAATTTTAATTTTTTTTTTATTTTTTTATTATAGGTGTTAAAATAAAATGTGTTTGATTGAACTATAATACTTCTAGATACAGTCATCTTCTGTTTTACATAAAATAATAATTGCGATAAATATTAGACATTAGTAATGATAAATTTGGTGGGTTTTTTTCTTTTATGCATTAACATTGAAAATTATTTTTTTACAATTAAGTTTTGTCAACCAGATACAATGAAATACTATTTATTTCATTTTAAAAGCTTATTTAATTATATCAATTTTTTTATAATATTGATAATTTTATTATCTTCTTTGTAATTTTCATGTGGTCACCCACTGACAACTTTTAGTCAACAATATTGGCTATCAGTTGTTAGTGAAAACAGAGTGTGATCTTTGACAACAATGTTTCATATTTATAATGAAATTTTGTTGTCATTATGGACCACTCTCTGTTTTCTGTTCTTAAAAAGTTTCCAATCTGTCAAACATAATTTTTTTTTCTACGTCATATTATCTAAGTTTAGTTTAGCATGAATGTTAGCATGAATAAAAGCTTTTTAAAAGTTTAAGTTGTTATTGATCATTTTCTTGAGCATGTCTATTATCGTTTGTTTCCTAGAGCATCTTTTTAGGGTCGTTCATAAATTATGTCACCATTAAGGGCGGGGTTAGTGGTTTTGTGGCAGCTTATTCAGAACTTGTTACTAAACAGTTAAGATGTTTTAATGAGGGTGAGGTGGTCAAAAATTGCGTGACATAATTTGTGAACGACCCTTATCTAGAATTTCAAATAGATTGACAGGGCTCGAAACAACAAACTTTTTTCTACTGGACAATTTGTCCAGTAAGACTCAAGTTTGCCAGACATGTCTGATAAAAATTTAAGAAGTGCGTTTAAACGCCATTCCTGAACATGCTTAAAATATTTTGTTTTTCACTTGAACCACACAATTTGTTTTGATAACTCTAGGCTTTCAAAATGCGTTTAAAATAAAACGAAAGTTTTCAAGATAAATTATCGATCAAAAAGAAAATTTAAAAGAAAAAGATTAGAAAAAGAAAGTATTATTAACTGTAAGGAAAATATATTTGTAATAAGTTTTTTTAAAAATACTATATTATGTGAAATGCTTTGTTAATTACTAAATACATATATACTATTACGTAAATACATAAATTATGTGATTATTAAGTACATAATTAAATATGTAATGAAAATGTATAATAAAAATACAAAATTATTAAATACATCAATGCATGGCTGATGACATGGATTTCGAAGTGGGGGAGCTTAATCATAAATTTTTTAAAAAAATCCTCTATATCTAAAATTTTCTTTAAAAAAAATGGTTCTTTAGAAAAAAAGTTGCGGAGGAAGGGGCACGTTCTCCCGGACTACCACTTTTATACTCAAAAAAATGACGTATTTTATTAACGTAATCGTGTGTTCAACTTCAATTTTGTTTTGGATAAAAAAATAAAGTTTATATACAATACTGAATTTATTAATTGTTTTAGAACAACTAAAATTATTAGAAAATAAATGCGCATAAAATATAAGTCAGGCAAAATGACTGATAGATGTTGTTTTTTACTGGACAAGTGCGGGGCGATGTCCGGCGCTTATTTCAAGCCCTGGATTAGTAGTACAACTTTTATTTTTCGAAAGTTTTTTTCCTTTTAAAAATTATTTAATTAAGTTAAAACTGTAAAATTGTAAGAAAAAATTAACTTATTAAATTTAGTATATTATTATATAATCAATACAATTAACAAAAGAAATAACAATAATAATAATTTCTCAATAGATACTCATATTTTTATCTGTATTCAGAGTCTTATATAATTTTACTAATATTATGTTAATTATTAATAATTAATATTATATTTCAAAAGATTTTTTAAAATTAAAAATAATTTTTTTTTTTATGTTTTTTAAAAATATTTGCATTAATTATCTTTTTTTTTTTTTAGAAAATCGATTTTTAAATAAAATATTTTTTAGAAAAGTTCAAGACCTTTTTTTATATTTAGATTACTTTCGTTACCTGAAAAACCAACACCAATTGATTGGAGTTACTATCAGAAAAATGTTAAAAACCAGGCCCTTCTAAAAAAGTTTCATGACGCTGTAAGCTAATTTTTCTTTTTTCTACCAGTGACTTTTCTTTATGATTTCAGTGACTTTTCTATATAAAAAAAATAACTGCTTTAAAGATAAATGTTGCAATAATGCAATAAATGAAGTTTTCATTTATTGCATTATTAAAATTCTAAAATTAGTTTGTATTTTTATTAAAAATTTTATGGCTAATCAGTAATTTTTCATTTGATTGCTTTGATACCCTTTTCTTCTATTCTATTGTATGGGCAAGTTATATATATATAAGTATGGGCAAGTTAAATACCCTTAAAAACTGTAGTTCCCCATTTGAGATATTAGCAGGTAACTTTGTTACTAGTCTCTTATAAAAGAGAAGACATTTATGAACCTTAAAATGGTATGAGTTGTTATTATAATGATTCAATTTAGTATTTTGTTTTTAATATCCGGAGTATAATTTTTTTTTTATAGTTTTTGTTTTATTTATTATTTTTTTTTTTTTTTTTACATTAATTATTATTATTAAAGTATTATTATTGTATCAGTCAGATATTTATATTTATAATATTATGTCTTTTATATTTAATATTTATGTCAATCATAGTATTCAAAAGTTGTTGTTCCTCGACCAGTTGATACCGAATCTAAAAACATTGAAAACAAAAAAAAAGAATTTGTATGTTGTTTATTTACTTTTTCAACTTTTAACTATTGACTTATAAGTTTTTGTTAATGATTTTGAATGTATATTTTATTATTTATTTTATTTTCTGAATTTTTAGTTATTTAAATAAGTAAAAGTTGTATTAGTATACACTGAAAATTAATTTAATTTTTTTAATTTTTTTTAGGACATTGAGGCAATGAAAGCAAATGAAGAAACTACAGCTGCTATTGCACAACTACAAGCTGAAGTTAGTACTATTTAAACTTTATTCTGATTTTATTTTTATATCGTCAATGCTATCTTTTTATATCATTAATGTTTTGCTATAATTATTTTTGCTATAATTAAATCTTTTTATATCATTAATGTTCTAGTCCAGTTTTAAAACATTAAAAAACAGCTTTTGTATTTGCTTAAAATTAGCATATAAATCATAACCCCTCAAAATATAATAACAATAACGATATGGATAAAAGTAAATATTGAATTGATGTGTCTTAGTAGGATTCGCTGATGCTTTGCAATATTAAGTACGCTCTAGTTTAGCTCCAGCACTTAACTTGAGGTACACTTGGGTTTAAGACGTAAAACAGATGCTAAAGCGCAGCTTTTTATCTAACTTGAGTTTCTACTGTCAGGAATGACAGAAACACCTGATGATCCTGCTGAATGAGAAACTGACAGTAAAATCTCAATTAGTGTTTTTGTACGTATATATGTATATATAAATGTATATGTATATATATACATACATACATACATACATACATACATACATACATACATACATACATACATACATACATACATACATACATACATACATACATATATATATATATATATATATATATATATATATATATATATATATATATATATATATATATATATATATATATATACATACAATTCTAGATCGAACAGATTGAAAATTCAAAGCCTTTTGAAGAAATGACGGTAGGATAATGTTATATTTTAAATGGTTTTTATAATTTAGGTTTGTTTTATCAATCTTTTATTAACTTTACGAAACATTCGATGCGTCACGTATGTAATATTATATTACGTATGTAATATTATATTATGTATGAAATGTATGTATAGTTTGAAATATATTATTATTATTTTTTAGCCTGAAGAATACGTGGAAAAGCATCCTGATATAGCAAAAAAAACTCTCGCTGAGATGAAACAAATGGGATTCCGTTAGAAATTTTATTGAAATGCTTTTTAAAAATATTTCTTCAAAATTCTAAATATAAGAAATAGTCAATTCACATTTTTATTAGAAACAAGTAAAAGGCTTGTAATGTTTAGGAAAGTAAATAATTTGTAAAAATGTTTTTCGTATCAAAACTTTCTGCCTTATTGACCAGCGCTGGCCAAACTTTTTTGACTCAAGAGCTTCATTTAAACCCGAAGAGCCTTAATAAATTAAGTTGAAGAATTTTTTTATTTCAAAATATTTTCAAGTTTACGTGTGCCGGCAAAATATTTGTTTTTTTATACAATATTATTTTAAACATAAGGAATTTAGATTTTTTTGGAATAAAAATTATTAAAAAAGCTTAAAAAAAAACTACAGTCGCGTTCAAAAATATTTTACAAAAGTTTTTTTGCTTAAAAAAAATGTTGAGAGTAAGTGGGAATCATTTATTTTTTGTTTAAAGTGCATTCGTGTCATCCTACCGCACTATAAAATTTTTATTGAACTTAGCATTAGTTTTGAAATAATTATTTTTCACTTTCGCTCGAATCAAAAATATTTTTACTGTCGATTATATTTGAAAAAAAAGTGATAAAATGAAGATAACTAAAGTTCGTGACATAATTATATTAATCAATATTTGATAGCACAGCCTTTTTATAGCAATTATAGCATCTTGTCTATAAAGATATTTTTTCATGTTTGGTACAAACAATTTTCTTTTTGTTCGTAAAATTTCCTCTTACTTGACGATCAACCTCCTCCCTTAAGTTTTCAATGAGATTTAGATCAGGACTTAAATTACGCCGGTCCGTAGCACGGACTTAAATGGACAAATTTTTCGCAGCCTTTGATGTGTTTTTAGGGTCATTATCCTATTGGAAACGTTAACGTTGTTGCATTTTTGCTTTAATATGTGGCATATGAGTTTTCATCAAATCGGTATAGTAGCGTTCGTGATGCCCTCAATTTGAGCAAATAACCCTACGCAATCACGGAGAAAACATCCTCGCGGCACAGTATACCGAGCTCCTTTCCTTTATTTTTTAGATTTTTAACGTACATAATTTCATCTGATGAAAACAAATTATATATACTTTCATCACTCCACAAATCTTTACCCCAATCTTGTTTAGTCCAGTTTAAATGCACTTAGGCGAATTTTACTCGTGTCACCCGGTTCTTTTTTGAAATCGATGGTTTTCGACTAAGACTTTTTCCAAATAATTGTTGTTACTCTTTTAATTTTTTTCTTTTGATTGACAGTTAACTTTTTATTTGAGAATACTTATATTTATCTGCCGTCAAGTAAGGTGACCATTACCTTTTGAAATTTGATAAAGTTGACGACCGTCTCTTTTAGTAGTTTTTCTTGGTCGACCGATCTGGGTTTTGTTTCTAAAGTTCTCCTGCGTACTTTTTTCTTGATCCACATACAAGCTTTTAGGATACTCCAAATTGTAAATTTTTGTTATTCCACAACAATTAACTGAATTACAAAGATCTTCACTATACTCCTTGTATTTTCAAAAAAAGTAAAAATACTTTTGACCGCTGCTGTATGTAAAAGATGTAAAGTTTTTGTTGCAAAATAGTAAAAGCAAAAATATTTTATAGAAATTTTTTACTACTTTTTTTAAACATTTTTACTTAATAGAAAATATCTTAATAGAAAAAAGATTTTTAAAAAAATACAATTTCTGTTTAATAATATAATTTCTGTGAAATAATACAATTTTTGTAAAAAGTAATAATACAAACTCCATACCAATTTGCTGATAATAGTAACTTGCTCATTAACAACAAATCTTAAAAAAAATATAACAAATAAATTGATCATGGTCTTGCTAATCTAGTTCAGTGGCTTTGCTAAAATAAGCTTTCTCTCAACTATAGCAAAACGGAACTGATCATATTCAAATCTTTATAAACAAAAACCAATAAAAACTTTAACTTTTGATTAAGTTGCAAGAAAATCATTCCTGTAAACTCAATCAAATATCTTGAAATTTTAATTGATTCCAATCTATCGTTTGTATCCCTTAAATACTTAGTAATAAAATTAAGCAGATCAAATGAAATGCTGGCTAAAGCTCGCCATTATATCAATCTGGAAACACTATTTACTATATACCATGCCATTTTTGGCTCACATATACGGTGTTCTTGTCAAATATGGGGACAATTGATATTCTAAACCTAGTAGTCCTAAAACATCGTTTTGTTACTTATGGATTAAATTACATAAAAAACCAAAGTACAAAATCTTGGAATAACTTTCCCTATGACCTAAAAGCTACCCATTCAATATATGTTTTTACGAGTAATCTATTCCACTCCTTCCTTATCAAATACAGTTAATAAACTCAATGATATCTGTATCTGTATATAAGTATTTGTGATAAGTGTATTTAAATAAGTGTGTGTATATATGTATGTATATGTATGCATGAGTGTGTATATAAGTGTATGTGTGTATTCAGGGGTGGCGAAAGGAAATAAAAAGTGTGGGGGAGGGGGTGCTAAAAATTTTTTGCAAATTTTATAAAATTAATATTAGTTTTCACTTATTCTTAAAAGGAAACCACATTCATCCATTTTCAATAAAGCATAATATCAACTATAAACATATTTCACTAAAATTTAAAATTAAAAAAATATTACAATCTAAAAATTATAAAATGTTACAATCTAAAAATGATTTAACGTTTTTCAAAGTAAGAAATTCTGTTGTCTTTACTTTTTCCATTTATAAAATCTTTTGCTATATCTTTTACATCTATTTCCGCGGTGTTCAATTTGTAAAGTTGAAGAAGTAGAAGATGATTCAATCGCTTCTGAGTCGAGGTCGACCGACTATATGACTTTATCATTCTTAGATGGGAGAAAGATCTCTCGGCTGTGCAGGTTGTCAATGGTATCGCCAAACAAAATTTTAGAAATTTTTATATTTCAGAAAACATTATTGAGACTCCTTTACAGTCGTTTAACATATCAATTATAGTTGTGATTGATGTGACCTGTTTAGTGTTCATTTTATATGTAATGTTATAAGTTTCCTCAATGGAATTAAATAGAAAGAGTTCAGCTTTTAATTTTCTATAAACTATATAATTTTTAAAGAAAACCTTTAAATTATCTAAAGTATCATTTCCGTATCACCATTTGCAGTGGACAACAATAACCTTTCTAAAGCAATTATTGATTTTAATCATTGTATTTTCTGGAAACCGCTAATTTAATTGACTGTCTATAACATCAAGTACCTCGTAGTACTGAGCTCGGTAATTTTCCATTGTGTTCCATTTGTGATTGTTCAAAGTATTATTATCAAAACGAGAAGGAGTTAAACATTGGCGGGGCAAAGAAGTATGAGGTGAATTGCAAAAAAATTTCTTAACTCCTTGATTAACACAAGTCAGTTGTATGAACGAGGGACAGGAGTTGTGCCAGCTGTTATATAATAGCTCCGAAGAGACCGGTAAGGTTTAAAAAATTACAATGCAATATACTTAACGAGAATGTCGAGAAGTTCAATTTAAGTGCTCCTTGTTCAACTCGTTTAACCGCGAGGACCAAATCATATGGTTTAATTCTGACAAATTTTCAAGCAATTGTTTTAGAGCTTCAAGAAGTTTCTGAATCAAATGAAACAGAGCTGAAGCAGAAGGTTTACTTGATAAATTTTTATCATTTTAATTATATTTTGGGCTTTGCCTGGCTTATGATGTGTTTGTAACTGTAGAGCAAGTCTCTCAACATATGCAATTTGCTGAAGTAGAAACTCAAACAATTGCTTCATCAATAATGTTATTAAAAATTCATATATCATCTATGAGATCAGAAATACGTTTTAAATCATTTTTTGAATCTTGTTTACAAGCATCTTGAAGAACAAGGTTGAGCCGATGTGCGTAATAATGTATAAAAATTGCTTCATTGACATCATCTTGAAATAAATTAGCAACACCACTTAGATGTCCTGACATTGAAGCGGCATCATCGTAACATTGCCCCCGCACCATTTTCTTGTCTTGTCCACATCTTAATAAAACATCACATATTGCATAAAAAAGCGACTTATTGTCGGTAGCATCAACTTTATAGAGACCAAGAAAATCTTCACATATTGTAAAATTTTCAGAAACTGATCGAACACATATAGACATAAGCTCAATACCAAAAATGTCTCAAGTTTCATCGCATATTACAGGATAAAAAAGTCTCGATTTAATAGCACTAAGTAAATTTCTTAGCACATTATTTGTCATTAGTTCTATCATCTAGTTAACAATATTATGAGACATGTACTTACTGTTTGACAGCCAGCTCGATAGGGGTGGATAATCTTCACTCCTCAATAAAAGTAACTAATTAAGATTGCCTTCAATATCATCATTCCGTCGAATAACTAAGCCTGGTAGAGTAACACATTTTAATGTAGAGGTTACACGAATTATGCACTCGTAATGCTCATTGCATTGCTTATCATGCATTTCACTTATCATTTAATGTATTTTTTTTAAACCTGCTGCACGTAGTGTAAATAATTTTTCCTGTGCCTCCTTATAAAATGATGATAGGTCGTGTTTTCTCAGTCTTTCTACACCTTTTTTCCAATTGTCATAACTAATTGTCAAAAAATGTTGTTCACTGCATTTTGAAAGAGATACTAGATTTTTCTTGACAGCACCAATCCAAATATAGCAAAATACTTCCTTTTTCGATCGACATAGATGAATCCAAGGGTAATCTATAATCCATTTTTCATTGAAAAATCTAAGCTGTTTGCCATACATTTTTTTGGTTGCTTTAATATCGGCAGGATTTATTTCTGTTTTTTCGGCGTTCTACTCACAGCAAGAACAAGCAGGAAAATATTTTCCAATGTCTTTTCCTTCTTGAATAATTTGTACCGTTGTTAAAGTTGGACTTGAAGAATGCTTGTCACGTACAAAGTAAGAAATCAGTGTTCATTGTTTTTATGAGACGGTTCCGTTATGACTTTTCGTAGTTGTGTGAAAATACTTGTCGCAAGATTAGTAATTGTGAATTATGTAATATGTACTTATGCATAAATTTATATAATATTCACAACTATTAATCTCTCCGTTGTGAATTGTAAAACATTGTTCAAAGCAAACTCATAAAATTAGGGGAAAGGTGTCTATGATGGCATACTTAACTTTGAAGTTTTATTATTCAGTATTCTGAAGACCAATAACAAAAGTTTTGATATGGATACATATTTTGTTACATGTAGAACAATAATAATCCCAGGAGTTTTCATCAGTTTAATTTTTTTTTTATTATATTTTTAAAAAAAGCACAAGTATGCCATCATCGGCAACTACTGCTCCTATGATGGCATAAGGGAGGATGGGGTTGATTAACATTATGTGTAACTCAATGATTCCATTTGACCTTCGATTCTTTCCTCAGAAATGCTAAAAATTACGCGTAATTATCCTAATTAACCCTTTCGTGCTACACAGCAGCAGTGTAGGATTTCGTGCATGCGCATAAGAGATATTACGTTTTATGTGTTTTTTAAACCAAAAATTTTTTACTGAAGTAAAAATTCCTTTGCCATCATAGGCGCCTTTCCCCAATTAATTCAAATACAAAACGCTATTTGCTCCCTAAAAGCTTGTAAAACGTGGTTCGAAGCAAATACGTCAAGTTAGTATTTCAAATACAAAATACTAATTGACCTTTAGCGGCTTGAAGTTGTGATTTAAAGCAAGATAAAAACTTTTAAAACAATAATTTGACAAATTTAAAAAGTGTGTGTGTGGGGGGGGGGGGGGGGAGGGGGGGAGGGGGCTATAATACCAAAAGTCCCCACACTTTTAAAAGTTTTTTTGCTTTTGCTTCAGCACCTTAGTGCGACCGTGGCGCAGTGGTTAAAGCACTTGGTTAATAAGCAGGGGATCAAGGCAAGCCTTAAGGTGAGTTTCCACTCATCCTTTTTTTCACGGGATCGGGATAGGAAAGGGAAAAATAATCACGTGAGCATGCGCAGTTTCCTTACGGACAAATAAAAACTTTTATTACGCATGCTCACGTGATAATTTTTTTTCTTTAACTTTCCCGTTCCCGTGAAAAAATGGATGAGTGGAAACTCGCCTTTAGACATATTTTCGCGTTACGGTAAGGAAGAAACCC